GAAAGGTTTCTCCAAGTGAAAGTCAACTAAATAAGAAGTAGAAAGGTTGAGTAGAAGTAGAAGAGTTGGATGCAAGTATGGAAGTCTCGTATTCAAATCCAACAAAAAACAAATATTTAGTAGCAAAGGAAGTAGAAGACTTTGAGTGGCAGAAGAGTTGGCAGCAAAGGAAGTAGAAAGGTCGAGTACCAAAGTTGGTGGAAAGTAGGAACAAATCAAGGAAAATCAAGATGATTATTTGGAATTCCACCCAACTATTCATCAATATAGTAGTATGAATCCAAGAATAATTGATAGATGAATCAATCTAAGAAGGTCTTGAAACTCTTGGAGAAATATCCGAACAAAAGAAGAAGGTAGTAGAAGAAGAGAAAGTAGAATAGGAAGAAGGTAGTAGAAGAAGAGAAAGTAGAATAGGAGATAGAAGAGTTGGTAGAAGAGGAAGTAGAACACTTGGTAGAAGACTTCAAGAAAAAGAAGATGCAACCACACAACCTCCAAGCCATTTTCGAACATCTCAAACACCAATCAAGAAGGACAATCTTTTATCATGAAAGACATTCTAATTCTTTCAAAATCGAGGAAAACAAATCAAGGAAGAAAGAAATGACACACAAGGTAATTGGACACCTTGTAGTAAAGGAACAAATTGTTGATAACCAGACTCAAGGCATGGCTAAGGCAAAACAAATTATGACATACCAAGTAGTACACTTTGAAGCAAAAAATGTAGCAAGACAAACAAACTCACTTGGTAGCAAAGAAGTCACATGAAGGATTAAAACTGAGAGAAGATATCAAAGTGGAGTTTAAGCTCAAAATCAAACACACAAGAAGACCAATCACATCCAAACAACAAGAAGTGACAAGCCTTGAAGATCAACAAGAAGATTTCAAGAATCAAACCCATCAAGATATAAAGTGATCAACAATGAAGAAAAATGCAAGAGGTAAAAGAACATTTGTATTTTCTTGAAAGAAGATTCTCTAGGTGTAGATAGAGGGAAGAGTAACAAGAGGTTCTTGTGAAAACCCTGGGGAGTGTAGCTTTGTGCAAAACACTCGTTGCCTCGTTTGCGTAGAAGTGTAGCTTTGTGTGAGACATTTCGCATTGTAGAAGTGCTGAGTTGACGAACTAGCACTTGATTGTTTCACTATTGTATCTGCTTGATCGAAGATTGTGAATTCCTCATAGAGATAGGAATAGAATGGAGTAGAAGGATTACACCACCTTTGAATCACTATAAAAATCTCTCTCTCATTTACTTACTACTTTCACGTATACTCTGCTTTGCATGCACAATATATCTCTTGACATCAATTTTACATACATTTCTAACGTATTGCATGTGGTGATCACATCTCAAGTTCTTCAGTATTGAGCTTAACACTTTACGTACATTTATTCCGATGTGCACTCTAAGTTAGATTTTCATTAATCTACATTACTTGGAGTTATTTTTCATAAAGTGTTCTAATTTTTATTTTTGCGAGAAAAGTTTATTAAGTATGAATAGATGAATATTTGGTGTAAATTCATATTCTTTAGTTGGTTCATACTCTTTAGATTGTTTTATGCATTCGATCACATTAAGTGCATAATATTAAGTTTGATTATGCAATTAGGGTTTGTGAGATTTTAATTTACAAATGATAGCATATCCTTTTGGTTTGATATTGTTTGAATTTGTAAATTCAGTTATTTCTCATAAAGATCTTGCAGAATAGACACTACACCAGAGCCTTTGAAAGCTAGCCGTTGGAACTACACCGACTTATCAGGAATAGTTGGCAGAGCAGTTACATTGTCTAAGGTTATTTTACAAGAAAGCCCTTACCTGACTGAAATACTTCAAGGGTAAGAAAGTAATTCGTACTACATGGAATATCTTAGGAATTACTTGTCTTCCAAGATTCAGAGTATTATATACTGGTTAGAGAGAAAATTCAAGAAGAATTGAAGAGTTTACAAAGCTACATTTACAATCCAAGAAACTCTCTCTACGATTTGAAACAAAATACTCTGAAATATCATCTTCTCAAGACATTGTTGATGATCTAAGTTTAAGAAGATACTTGAGAAGAATGATCTACAAAGCTTTATCTTTAAACCATATTTTATACAACTGTGGTGAAGTGGTGGGTGAGTCAACGAGACGGATTCGCTCGTTGAGACTCCATTCGATCTTGATAGATTTGACAGACAACGATAATGCGGATCTCCAAAAAGGGATTTTTTTTACTGCTGATTGCACGGATTTTTATCCTTGACAATCCTCTATAGCTTCTTAAGATTGGGTATTTACCGTGTGAGGTATATCGCACATTGGGTTGAGAATGTGTTCTCTTACCGTCTGTTTGAATTGCTGATGAGATAGTGGATTAGATTCACTGATGGTGGTTTCCCAGACCTAGATACGATTGTATCGAACTAGGTAAACAATACTCTGTGTCCTTTACTTTCTATTTGATTTACATTCCGCACTTAGTCGTATCGTTGTTGTAATAACTATTCGAACAAATAAATTTAGAGTTTGCGATAAGCCAATCTATCAAACAGATAAGTCAGTAAGATAACTAGGCCGGATTATTGAATATCACATATACACAAAATCACACTTGCAATACAACATCTACATTCACCAACCTTCAATTTGCAGCAAGAAAATCTCTCACACATTCTAATATTCGATATTGTGAAAGGCTAAAAAACACAAGCATCTGATTTGGACAGTCAGGAAGTTTGATCAAAGCCATCAAATACTCTTCATTTGATAATCCATCAATTTGAATTAACTCTTTCTCTAACTGTTGCACTTTTTCTTGAAGAGTTAATTCAATTCCAATGCTCTTGCTTATTTTATCACCAACCATTACCAACGTTTCACTCAACATCATTGCAACATTGTGAAATTTTTGTGCGGGATGTCGTTGATGGAATCAAAAGTTACAAAAAAATCACTAATGTCTGGAGACTAGATTATGTTGATAAGGCCATTGAAGAATGAAAAAAAGAAGAAGATCACATCCTATACAACCTAGATAACCAGGTCATCAACGTCGTAGATTAGACATTGAATCCCATGACAATCAGCAAGGTCAAAGTTTACACAAAAACGACCAAGTAGCTGTGGGACACCAATAATGAGCAAATTTGTGAGAATAAACTCAATGTTGTAGTTCAACGGTTTGAAAATTATGAGATGCTAACTGGAGAATCTATTGAATAAATGGAGATCAAATTTATTAAAATTTTAGGTGAGTTGTATGTTTTGCAAAAGGAATACACGCACCCATAGAGATACTTAAATATAATAATTAAATTTTTAATTTTTAAAATAAATTTATTAGTTTAGAACTAAAAATAGTAAAAAGTTAACAAGAGTTAGTGAAATGTTTAGAATTCACTATATACTAGTACTTATTTTACTACTATATATATATATATATATATATATATATATATATATATATATATATATATATAGAGAGAGAGAGAGAGAGAGAGAGAGAGAGAGAGAGAGAGAGAATTAATATATCTATAATCTACATATATTAATTATAAAACTAATAAGAGCCAATAATGTTAGGCCCTTAACTAGAACAAAAAAATGTCGGTATAATTATTTCTTAAAATGAATTGTTCATATTATTTTGATTTTAATATTTTTTTAATGAACTTATTTTTCTTATTTACCCTCTATTATATTATTCACTTCCCTTAAATAACGCTAAATTTCATTAGTATAAACTTTATTAACAGAATATTCGGTTAATTATTTATTATTCTTAACTTACTCATTAATTTCTATAAGAAAGGTCTTAGGTTCGAACCCCATCCTAATTAAAGTTGACGTAATTGTTAAACATATACTATGAATATGTTAAAATGTATTTAAAAAATATAATAAAAAATTTTCTTGCATTAAAAAAAAAAACAAATTTATGTTAAGTTTTTTTTTTCTTTTATTTTTTAATTAATCTTCTTTTGATTATTTAGAACAAAACTTAATATTTCAATTATATGATTTTGTATTATTTGAATGATTTAGGTCATTATGTTATTAATATTTTTTGTATGTATTTTTATTATATATGGTACAATTGTACATTACTTTACAAATATTATACTACTATTTTTTTATTTGACACAATTGTTCTTATATCATTGTCAAACCAGCGCGACCAGAATTTTATCAATGCATGAAAACTTCTAAAGAAAGTTGCAAGTTAATTTTTACTATATCATTATAACAATATTTATTGTAACCATATATTTTGAATTATTTATTATCATCCTATCCTCTATTGATAACAATTGATGAGTTGTCATTGACAAACTCTCAAAACAATTTGTCTCAACAGCGAATGAAAATGTAAAAAAAAAAAAAAAAAAAAAAAAAAAAAAAAAAAAAAAAAAGTGATTTCATTATTGTGGATGAAAAATATGTACGCCACTTTATTACTCTTATTAAATTAAATAAATTAGTAGCTACAACAAAAATAATACATATGCATTAAATTAATTTAGAATTGGATGTCTATAATGTCTTTATTTAAAAAAAAAAAAAAAAAACTATTCATTATAAAAAAATTTAAAAGAGATATAATTTCATTAGTTATATTATCTTTATTTTCTACAATTCAAAGATTCCTTACTTTCAATTTTATTAATTTATTTTGTTCACTACATTCTCCATTGTCTTCTTTTTACACTACTAACTAATAAAAAAATAAAGGAAAAAAAAGGAGGACATGTACGGAAGATGAAGACAATGACAATGCTACCCAAAAAAAGAATTAGAGAAATTTAAACCAAAAGTAATATTTATTTAGACTATCGCTTTAAGACTAAGTTTTTTTTTTTTGAAAACCAGGTAAAATCAGATTGCATTAGCCATAACCGGCTCCAAAAAAGACGGAGGACCATCCCTCCAAACTGAACATACATCAGGTGCATTTTCATGCTTAGCCAATGTATGAGCCGCTTTATTAGCGTCTCATCTAACATGCGTAACTAAAGTACCAGGCATAGAAGAAATTAAACGAATACATGAATCCAAAACAAAACCAATATAAGAACGAAAACAATGTGCATTACTAAGGCTTGTAACCAGAACCGCGCTATCCGTGAATAGTGTGACCGCCGTGTAACCATTATTCTTAAGCCAAGATAGTGCCTCACTCACCGCCATCGCCTCCGCCATTAGGGGATCATACGGGCATACCATAGGACCATTTGCCACTGCAACGTAACTCCCATCCTCCTCCATCACCAAGAAGCCGTAGGTAGCATTCTGATGATTATTATGAAAAGCCGCATCCACATAGCAAGCCAAACCATTCTGCATTTGGTTTGCATGCAACCCGGACTGACGCTGCACTTGTGGGGACCTGGGACCAGTGCCATAAACCTTCCACGCTGCCCAACTAGAAGAGAGCCGGCAACACAAAGCTGTTGGAGTTGGCAGATACCCATTCCAAACTGCCGAATTCCTGGCTGACCAAATACCATGCAACACACCACAAATTCTCCCTCTAACATCACAATCCAGTGCCGATGCGCCACCCAGCCACAACTCTGCCCAAAACAGAAAATTGTTACCATTAAATGGGGGAATTGGCAACTGCAAACGATTCCAAACAAGAGAGCCATATGTACACGAAACAAGCACATGCATGACATTTTCCTCTACTAAACCACAAACCGGGCATACATTAACTAGATCCACCCTCTTTTTTATCAAATTATCAAGAGTTGGCAAAATGTTAGAAAGGGTAATCCACATAAAATTCTTCCAATTGGGTGGGATTTTCAACTTCCATACGCTACTCCAAACTTGCGAGTTAGGTGCCATAGCATCCCCTAGCCGCCTATAGCCACATCTTACCGAATAATTCCCCGAAATATCTCCTTCCCAGTACCACAAATCGTCATAAGTGTCATTCAATGGCAGTTTGTTAATCAAGGAGGCATCTCGTGCATTAAAAATCTGCTGTATCAAATTACTATTCCATGCCCCCGTAGCATCATCCACCAAATCAGCAACAACCATACCCTGATTGGGAGCCGGTTGCTCAGTAGACACGTAAGGATCCTGTGAATCAGGCAACCATGGATGTGCCCAAATCTGTGTGGTCCGTCCATTGCCAATCCTTCGCCTGCACCCCGATCTGACAAGTCCCTGACTAGCCATTACACTTCTCCAAACATAACTCGGATTTCCCCCTAGTGCCGCATCAAAAAAAGTGGTAGAAGGATAGTACCTTGCTTTTAAAACTCAAGCCATAAGAGTATTTGGAGCCGTGAGGAGGCGCCAACCCTGCTTGGCAAGCAAAGCCACGTTAAACTCATGTAACCGTTTAAAGCCTAGACCACCAAACTTCTTAGGCGTACACATTCTGTCCCAAGCCAACCAATGAATGCTAACATCCCTATCACTCCGCCCCCACCAATATCTGTTCATTAATCTCTCAAGGGAAGCACACAACATTTTGGGGATTAAAAAGATGCTCATAGTATAAGTTGGCATAGCCTGCGCCACACTCTTCAATAGAACCTCCTTACCAGCTCTGGACAGGAGCCGCTTGTTCCACGTCCCAAACCTTTGCTTTAACTTTTGCTCAATATACGCAAAAACCAACTTCTTATTCCTGCCAATCACAGAAGGGAGTCCCAGATACTTACCAAAATCATCAGCCTGAGAAACCCCCAAGGCCCCAGCAACGAGATCCTCCATATCAACCAATGTATTACGGCTGAAAGAAATACTTGACTTATTAAAATTGACCGCCTGTCCAAAATATGCCTCATATACTCCAAGACACCTCTTAACCTCCAAAGCTTCCTGCAAATTAGCCTTAAAGAAGAGAAGGCTATCATCCGCAAAAAACAAATGTGAGATAGCTGGGCTTGGCCACCCTACAACCATGAATTAACCCCTTGGCCTGAGAATCCTGCAGCAATAAAGATAACCCCTCTGCCCAGATAATAAAAAGGTAAGGAGACAAGGGATCACCTTGCCTAAGACCCCTCGTGGGGACAATTTCCTCAAAGGGCCTACCATTTACCAGAACCTTATACCGCACAGAACGGACGCACAACATAACCAGCTGCACCCACCTATCCTCAAACCCCAACCTCCTCAACATCTGTTCCACAAACGGCCACTCCATCCTGTCATACGCCTTGGCCATATCCAGCTTTAGGGCAGCCCAGCCTACCTGTCCCAATTGCTTCCTCCTTAGGTAGTGTCCCACCTCCGAAGCTATCATAATATTATCTTAAATTAATCTGCCCGGGAGGAAGGCACTCTGAGACTCAGATATTATCCCCTCCAAAAGTGGTTTCATGCGGTTAGCAATCATTTTAGCCATGACCTTATAAAGCACATTACATAGTGCTATTGGCCTCAGATCAGAGACAGACACAGGGGCACACTTCTTAGGGATCAAAACAATATTCGCATCATTTAAATTGGGGGAAAAATAAGACTGGGAAAGACAATTAAGCACAAAATCTGTCACATTCTTACCTACCACACTCCAGAATGACTGGTAGAAGCCGGGGTTCATTCCATCCGGGCCCGGAGACTAGCGTTATTATAAAGTTGCAAACATTTATTTTAGTGACAATTATAATCAATCTCTCATATATTATCTTGCATTTATATACTTTAAATTACCAATTTAAATAAAAAAAAATTCAACATTTTTTTTACCTATGCATGAACATTCCCTATATAATATTGCATTGATATATTTAAAAATAATAATTGGGCATTATTCCATTTGCGTAAAGCGCATAAAAAAACTAGTATTTTTATAAGTAGTTTTATATGTTAACAACCCATTAACATTAGATAATCAATTTTGATTTTTCTTGTCGTTATAGTGGTATGAGAATATTAACCGTATTACGCCTTTGTAATACTAGTATCTACAATTTATGTATTAATAATTTTGAAGTTGATTTATAAATTATGGAAAATAGACTAGTAACTACAATTTATGTATTAATAATTTAGAAGTTGATTTATAAATTATGGAAAATAGACGCTAAGTGCCTTACGTTTGTTTTACTCATAATATATCATGTGCTGGCATTCAAAAAAATTGTCATTAAGAGCATCCACAATGGTTGGGGAGAATTGGGGGATAATGTAAGAGTGATTAGGAGAGAGAATGTGAGAAGGGGAGAAAAAAAAACAAAAAAAAAAAAACCAAAAAAAAAGAAAAAAAAAAAAGAAAAACAAAAAAAAATTTTAAAAAGCAGAAGGGTCAGGCGCGCCTGACGCGCAGCCGGGCGCGTGCCCGGCTGTGGACTTGTTGTGCGCGTTGATCACCTTTCTCTCTTTTTTTTTCTTGGTTTTCGCAATATTTCTACCATTGCAGATGAATTCTCCTTGAATTAATTCTCCCCTACATTAGCTTTGCTCCCCACTGAGAAGAATGCATTCTGAAATCTCCTCATATTATTCACAAGTGTGGATGCTCTAAGCACCTAGACTTTTCTTACTACCTACATACATCATGTTGTTATAATACTAAACCCTAAAATATATTTATAAAGTTGGGAAAAAGAGGCCGGGTTGAAAGTATTCTAAAAAACATTATTTCTTATTTTGAAAAAGTATATGTAAGTTTGATCAAACTATCATAATTGTTTGAATATCACATCAGTAGCTTCAATTTTTTTTTAGTTTATTCCCATGTTTAGTTTGTTTTCATTTACTAAGTCATTAGGAGTTTAATATTTGATCACAGCTGGAAATTATTGAATTTTCGACCACCTAAAAGTGATCTTAAATCAAGTCGAAAGCAAAAAGTGGTCGGAAATAGCAACAAAGGTTTTTCCGGATACCAAAAGTGGTTGGAACAAGGCTTTCTACTTGATTTAAGATCACTTTCAGGTGGTCGGAAATTCCATAATTTCCAGTAATGGGATTGTCATGTTAGTGCCTTAGTGGCTTGATATTAGCTAGTTAGTGGGTTAGTGGCTATCTTTTGTTTGTCAGCTTCTTCTGTGTATTTAAGCATTATTTCACTAGTTAATAAAATGCATCTTTTCTCTAAAATAACCAAAAAATTAGTATCAAAGCTTCCTTTCTTAAAGGATCTGTGAGTGAACCAAGGGAAACCCACCATAAAAACCTTACCTTCCTTTATTCGATCCATAAAATAGATTCAGAAACACCTTTTACACCACTAGCGCCGCTAGTGTTTAAGGGTGAAAATTATCAAATATGGGCAGCTAGAATGGAAGCCCACCTAGAGACATGATCTCTGGGATGCTGTTAAAGAGGACTATGAAGTTTGTTAGAGAAGTTAGGTTCTGGTTGAGAGGATTACTCCCAACCTTGGGTTTGAAATTTAAAATAAGTGGCTTAGTTCCTTCCTTAGCTTGTATATATAGTTCCCTTTCTCTTCTGTACATTGAACACAGTAATACACATACATAGTTTACTACCAGTACTTGTCTAACATGGTATCAGAGCTACGGCGACGGTGAGGGAGTGGGTAGTGCTTGGAGGAGGACAGCGACCTTTCGCCAAGGTTTCGCGAAGCCACCGGAGCCATCACGCGCCACCGCAACAGTTGGCTCGCCGACTCACGTGCCGACGCGTGAGAGAGATTCTGGCGACCATTTGCGATGGCGAACGCACCGGGAAACTCGTCGTGAGAAGGACGTTCGACCTGAGTATTTTGTGAGAGGTTTTGTTCAAGTTTTGTTGAGGGGTTCTCCAAGTTTGTGTCGAGTCTGCGTAGGTTTATCCCAAGGTCTGTTTTTTGTTTTTTGTTTTTTTTTTTTAAATGGCGAAAGCAAGGGATATTGCTTGTAATATTGTATCTACCCCATCCAAATTAGTTGATGTAGTGCTTGCACCAGATGGGTCTAATTTTGGAGAGTGGAGATTTCTGATTGAAATTAATTTAGGGGGTATGGGTAAAGATAAACATTTGAGTATAACATGTCCAATCGAGCAAACTGAGGCTCAAGAGTGGAACATGGATGATAAAGCTTTATTATCCCGCATAATAAATTGTACTAATAGAAAAATAATTCTATCTATGCAACACTGTAAAACCGTGAAGGAGGTTTGGGACTTGGTGAATAAATGGTTTAGTGGAACAAACAACCTGAGGAAATTGTATCAATTGTCTCAAGATGTTCATCGTCCCTCCCAAAATGGATGGGACATCCGGGATTATTTTTATGATTTCAAGAATGTGAGTGAGGCATTATGTACTGCTATGCTGATCACGAATGATGTGTAGAAAATCAAAAATCAGCGTGATCAGTTGCATGTGTTTAGCTGGATCTCTGGGTTGGATAAAGAGTATGATGTCCTGAAATCTCAGTCGCTCGGGAATAAAGAGTTAGAATCAATAGACCAAGTTTTCACAATGGTCCAAAATGCGTCAAGTACAGGTAGTGGAGTCTCAGAGAGACATGTTTTCATGACGCTGGGAGATAATGGAGGTGCAGGTTCCGGTAATCACGGGGGTCGATTCCCAGGACTTGGTGGCTTTGGTAGAGGACGTGGAGGTGGTCGAGGAGGTCCGAAGGTTTGCTATAATTGTGGAGAACCCGGTCATCTACGCAACCAATGTCCAAAACATCTCTGACCAAAGAACTTTGCTAACTCTGCCTCCAAACCAGAAGGTAATGCTGTTGTGATGACAGATGAGGAGTTAGCTATGTTCAAGCAGTTGAAGGTACCTGCCTCACAACCTCTAAACAGTTAGGAAACATTACCATCTTCCTTAGCCACATTTGTCCAAACAGGTAATCCTACTGCTTGTGTCTCCTCCTCGTCCCGACAGTGGGTTATTGATTCTGCAGCTAGTGATCATATGTCAGGTAATCTAAATGTTTTTTCTAAGTATTCTTCCTTTCCGTCTGGTACTACAGTTACTCTGGCGGATGGTTCATCCGCTTTAGTTTCAGGTAGAGGTAGTGTTAGTGTCACTCTATCCATGTCTCACTCTCGCGTGTTATACCTCTCGAAGTTTCTGTTCAACTTATTGTCGATAAGTCAAATAACCTGAAATCTAAACGGTTGTGTCGTGTTCCTTCCAGGTTATTGCTTGTTTTAGGATCTTTAGACAAAGGCGATTATTGGTAGAGGAAATGAAGCTGGTGGGTTGTATTTGCTGGAACAATTCACTCCTAATCCTGAAGATGCTCATTGGGAAGTATGTCTCCTTTCCAATTACATTATTGGTATGGCCACCCACCTTTATCTATTTTGAAGAAGTTATGTTCGAATTTAGAATCTTTGTCTATCTCGCAATGTGAATCTTGCGAGTTTGCTAAGCATTACCGGGTACCATATCCTCCTAGAGTCAATAAAAGGATAGAGTCTTTATTTTAATTGGTTCATTCAGATATATAGAGACCATGTCAGGTACCATCCAAGTTCAAGTACTTTGTAACCTCTGTAGAAAGTGCTTGGCAAGAATTAATATATTCCTAGTCTCAAATGTATTCTTGCCATCTGAGCACAATGTGTTTTTCTAGTCTCAGGTGCACAAGGTGACACCTGAGGTGTTTTTCTAGTCTCAACACAAGGTGCTCAAAAAAGAAAGGTGCTTTTCTAGTCTCAGGTGCACAAGGTGACATCTGAAGCACATGGTGCTTTAATGTCATCTGAGCACAAGGTATTATATTATTCAGGTGCACAAGATAACATTATATTCAGGTGACATTATACATATTCAGGTGTTTTTCTATCTTTTGTGCCTTATTCTTCTAATCCTTTTTAGACCAGCGCTACGGTGAGACGAGATGGCGAGACTTGGCGGCGTAGCAATAACCGTCGAGTTGTGGCTACGACGGCGAGCAGACGAGACAGTAACTCCGTCCGGCGACGGTGCAGCAACAAATCCGGTGAGGTTGGGGCCTTCACCGGTGGTTTTTGGTTCTAGCGAAGTAGAGAGGGCAACAGGTCGGCGAACCCTCCTCCGGTAAATAGCAGTTGTAGCTGTAGATGGCGTGATGTAGAATTTGCACCCGTAAGTCCTCCCTTCCAGATTGACCACAAATATCCTTCTCATCTCTCTCTCTCTCTCTCTCTCTCTCTCTCTCTCTCTCTCTCTCTCTCTCTCTCTCTCTCTCTCTCTCTCTCTCCATCCCTACAACTACTTGGTGCACAACCTCAATAACCCTACTCAAGTTAAACAGAGTACAATTG